CTCATTTTTGGACAGTACAGTTTATTTATCAGAAGACAGGGAGGATTTGCACAAAGTCCACTGAGTGCAACAAGAATGATCCAACATGACCTTCATTTACAGAATGGAAGCATTCATTCCCCCCTTTTTCCAGCCCCAGATTTACACGTGTAATCCTGCAGATGGGATCTCGTGTCTTTCTTCTCTTAGAACCACACCCTGTGGCCAGACTGTGGGAGAACATGCCTGTTATGGTACATCCTCAGCAGTGACAGAGCAATGCAATACTTATCAGCTGTGCTGAGCAGGCATAAGCCTCAGGGCATCCTTCTTCCCTTTCTGTATTTGTAAGATAGTAAAGGTCATAAGCAGTGTGGAGTGGGCTAGAGGAAGTAGGACCCCTGAATATCAGCAAAAGCACGGACTAATTTTGCTCCAGGTGAGATAATCCCATCTTGGCCATCCCAGGATGTCTTTTTTTGTTTTTTCCAAAACAGTTGTGAGAACAAGTCTGTGTCTGGATGTTCTTGTGGTAGGTAATGGCTGTGGCTTAAATAGGAAAGCGTTGTTTAGAAGAAGTGGTCTTTGGAAGGAGACTTTGTCTTCAATGTCTCCATCCCATCTTCTTAATGGAACGGGTACCTTTCTTGTTGGTTTGAGTTCAGTACAGCCAAGCAAAGAGAGAAGAAAACGCCAAGTTAGAGCTGTGTGGCAGCTTGGAGTAAATCCTACAAGATGATGTAGGAATGTACACACATATCTCTTCAGCTGGTCTGGCTTTCCATAGTCAGCTTCCCAATCAGAGTGAGAATGGCAGTGACTGAGATGACACTGAGTGACAAGTGCTTTGTTTTTGAGTGCTGCGTTCTTTCTTTTGCTGTAGTGATCACCAGGATGCCTTCACGGAGCAACCCAAAGTGGTGGGATCATCGTGAGAAAAGGAAATAGGTTTTAATGAAAGAATGCAATGCTGCAGCTTATTGAAAGGATGCAAGTAGAGTGGTAGTTGTACAAGAGCAAGGCATCTTTTCTGTGTCACTGTTTCAGTGAATGAGATGCTTGGCAATTTTGAATAGCTTCCACAGCATCACTTTCTCTCTCTGGATAGCAGATAGTGATTTTTGTACTGCAGTAGCATGTTTCCTTTCTGCATGACGTGACTGTGGTGATGTAAGGCTTCCTGGTGAAAAAGGGATGGTCAGACATGGAGCGGTGGCCCTACATGCCGTTCATGCAGCTCTGAAAGCAACCAGTCGTGTTCTTGTACCGAGTAAGATGTGACCTGCTGATCAGTGGTGCTAGAGGCAGAACTGAATATTAACAAGACAAAGTGCAGAGATCTTCTTCTGCTTAGGAAGGATTTCTTTTTTTCAGCCTTTTCTGATGCCCATGCTGTCATGGAACTGTTTTGTTGGTTAGCTAATATGCAGCAAATGTAGTTGCTGACAACGTGATGTAGTGTCTGCAGGCAGGCAGGGTGTGCAGTATCAACATGTACTTGACTTTGGCTGCAAAGAATTGTCAGGCCAGGAATTGTAGACTTTGAGGAGGATAAAATGGTTGAAAAGGACCCCACGGATCATTTAGTTCCAACCGCCTGCTGTGTGCAGGGTTGCGAACCAGCAGCCCAGGCTGCCCAGAGCCACATCCAGCCTGGCCTTGAATGCCTGCAGGGATGGGGCATCCACAGCCTCCTTGGGCAACCTGTTCCAGTGCCTCACCAGCCTCTGGGTGAAAAACCTGCTCCTCATATCCAACCTGAACCTCCCCTGTCTCAGTTTACAACCATTCCCCTTGTCCTGTCACCATCCACCCTTGCAAACAGCCGTTCTCCCTCCTGTTTCTACGCTCCCTTCAAGTACTGGAAGGTCACCATGAGGTCTCGTTGGAGCCTTCTCTTCTCCAAGCTGAACAAGCCCAGTTCCCTCGGCCTTTCCTCATAAGAGAGGTGCTGCAGCCCTCTGATCATCTTGGTGGCCCTCGTCTGGACCCGCTCCAGTAGCACTGCATCTTTCTGGTGCTGCACCATCAGTGATGTCATGTTGAACAGCAAATGAGCTGTCCCTAAATCAGCTGGCTGATAAAACCAGTCAAGGCTCTAAGGTTAGCAGAGGGAAAGGCAAATATACGGAACATTGAGGAAGTACTGCAGTTGGGCCAACTCTTGGTTCGGCCAAGAAGTGGAGCAAAGGTCAAATTGAAGACCAAAATGGGTAGAAGATGGCCTTATGACTGTAGCTGCATCGCAGTGCCTACAGATAGCATGAGAGCACTTTGTGACATTTCACCTGAGGCTGCAGGGCCAGGGAGCTGGAAATGTGTAGCCCAGGAACTTTCCCCATCCCTTGCTTCTCCTGCTCTCTTCACTGACAACAGTTTTTGTCCTCCCCCACGAGGTGCCTGTAAAGTTCTGCTTCCCTTCCAATTTGTCTCCAACATGGACATCACATCTGTGCTCAGCTTTTATAGGATGAAAAAATGCTCTGATTTTCCAAGTGTTGCTGGTGCTGCAGGCCTCTGAGCAAAGGGTGATACTGTCTTGTTTCCTTAAGGGGACATTTTTCCCTTGGTATTCAGAGTGAAATGCTACTGTCCTGATAGTCAAGAATATTTCCCTTGGTGCAATGGAAATGACTCAGCAGTCAAACTTAGTGTCTGCTTGGCTATTGCCACTGTGCAGTGCAGAAGAAGAATATTTTGCCATTTTGGAATTCAGTTCATGTTATCTGCCGCAAGAGCACAAAATTACTGCAATGAAAAGACATGTAAAGAAACAGCAACCTTTATTCCTACACAACAGACTACTTCTACAAGAAAGAGTAATTTCTTCTTGAATATAGTGAAACGTTATTTTCAACTTCATAGGAACTAGAAGGAACTGCTATTTTTTAATTAATTCTATAATAAATACCAATTTAAATGTAAAGTCTATAATGTATTTAAATTATAAAACTAAATTCTATTACTGTATATTATACATCTAATTATATGACTCTTATAGATATGCAATCATGAAACGCTACTGCTTCCTAACTGAGACAAAACCAAAACAGTCCAAGAAGGGCGTAGGAGTAGGAGAGAAGGTTTCCTGGTGTTTCTGGAGCATCGTCTTTGGAGCTGGAGGTGCATTAGAGATAGTGAGCGCTGTCAGCTCATGCTGCCATCCATGGGAGTTGAGTTGGAATTGAACCTTCTGCAAGAGATTTGATACGTTATAATGTAGCTTTATGAGTTGGGAATTGAACTCGTCTTCTTCTGTCTCTTGACTGAGCCCCCTGCAGCGCTAGTAGAGGATTGACAGCCAACTGTAACCCTCTAAACCCAAAGATTCCGTGTTCCCTTTCTCTGCTGACACTTACTGTGGCAGGACTCCTACTTCCTTTGACTCCTGGGCTTCTTTGTGGACTTGTCACGCCTGCTGAGAAATGGTTGAAGATGAGAACAGATCAGAACTGCATTGTCCCATACCCAAGAGGGAAACAGCTGTGCAACTCTAATGATAGAACTAGAGAGGTTTAGGGTACAGCAGGTTGTGCAAAGCACTGAAGAATCCCTGCTGCTTGTTGCATCTATGTACAGTTGCCACCACCTACATAGCGTGCTCCCTAGAAATCCCCCAAGTGTGGTTTGATGTTGTGCATACAGTTCTACTCTGGGAGCCAAAAACAAGCGTGGCAAAGTGATAGTGTGGGAAGTCTGGCTTTGGCAGTAAAAAACCAAAAGTATGATAAACAGTTCTCCTCATCATGGAGTATCTCAGACTTGCTATATGATGCATTTCCTTACAAACCTCTAGAATATGAGTAGTAAAGTAGTGATGTAAACCTGATGGTTGTGAGAGGATGAGACAGACGTGTGTGTCCTGAACAGAAATATTTGTCCAGGAACAGCACACCAGCTACGCTCTGTTACTTGTGGCACTGCTTGTGTTTTGCAGGCAGCGTTTCACAGTGGACTGAGTTGCGTATGTTTAAGTGCATGCGTGCTTCATCCATCATGTAATGAGGGATGGGAAAGCCATTTTGAGGAAGTGAGCTTGATTCACTCTCTCTCTGGAGTACTTGTTGAAGGTGTTTACAGATGGTATTTATTTGGGAAGTGCAATCAGTACAGACTGCTCTTTGGAGCCTCTCCTCCAACTGCTAGCTATTACAGGTGATTCTTTGATTTGTAATTGTGTGCTTCTTTTCTTAGCTCCCCATTTCTGCCCTGGTGTCCTTTGTGGAAGCTCTGGATGTTGGCTATAGCAAACACAACCTAATGTATGCTGCCGATGTGACACAAACAGTCCATGACCTCCTTTTGAAGACAGGTGTAGTGGTAGCAGGTACAAGACTTGGCATCCTTCCTACGTACTGAAATGGCAGCAGTTTTTGTTTGGTAAGGAGATGATCATTATCCACAGCAGAGCCATTTGTGCTGTAGAAACAATGTGCTTTGCAGGGGCTGTGCTAATGCAAGTAGGCATTTGGGATTCCTTGGAAGAATTGGGTGAGGGTATGGGTAACTGTTGTAATTGATGGGAGAGAGGATGAGTGAAAAAGGCAAGCTGAATTCTCCCCTCTGCCATCAATCTGCTGGCTGAGTCTAGCAAGTCAGTTTGTTGGGATTTTATTTCCCTTTCTGTGAAGAAACAAATTGCCTGAGCTTTCTTCAGAATACAAAATGAAGTAATGTATTGCTTAACCCAGTTTGGCACCCCTTTTCAGGCTATTGCTCACCTTTTTCTCTTGCTGTCCATTCCTGGGCGCTGTCTCTGGAGCCCACGTGGAGGTGGATCCACCTCCATCAGCTCCTGCTCCTCTGGAGGTGGATCCACCTCCATTGGCTCCTGTTCATCTAGAGGTGGATCCACCTCCATGGGCTCCACTTTTCACCTCCTCCCCATGAGCTTCTTTTTCTGGGGAGGAGGATCCATTTCTGTGAGGTGCTTCTCTGCCTCTTGCTGTTGGTATGGCAGTTCTCTCTCGGTGGGGCCTATGGCCTGAGAGTTGCCCCAGTTTTGAAGGAGAAGGAAGGACCTGGAGAACTGAAGGACTGTGTCCTGGGAAGGGCTCATCTGTTGCATTGTGCTTGCCAGAGAGAATTAGTGGCACTTGGGCCAAAGGCCCCGTGGAGACTCCCTTTCTTCATCCTGTGCCTCCGATCCATTTGTACTGATGAGTGGCAGGATTACTCCAGGAGTGTCCTCTTCCTGGCAGCAGCTGGCTTCCTGCAAGTGGAGGCAGCCTATTGCTCAGCCGAAGCAAGGTGGAGACAAAGGATGCTAACACCCCACAGGCAGCCTAGGGACATGCAGTCAATAAAGAGCTGCTGAATTTGCAGGGTGATGTGAGTTCTCTTTTGCTGACCTTCACTCTTGCCCCGTAGCCTGAAGGAGGTGGCATTTCTGCTGCTCTAGTGTGAGCCTGGCATCTCTGATCCTTCACCACTGAACACCAAAGAGAGAAAAGCCAGTCCTCATTTTATTCCATGCTTCCAGTAGGCAACAGTAGTCAATACTCAAATCTCTCCTCTTCTTTCATTTTCTTAACATTGACAGAAGGAATTTCCCTCAGTATTTCCTGGGACTCCTTGCCAGCTCTTCGGTTGTGAGTTGTCTCATATGACACAAGGCAATGTATTGTTGGGTGTTGTCTTTTAGCAGGCATCTTGATGGTGTTGTGTCTCCTTGGCCCTGATGGACGTGTATTCATTTCCATGGGTTGTTTTTTTTCTGGAGGTGGATTCACCTTGGCTGTTCTTCAGATTTCCTCCCCGTTAGTTGCTCTGTGACTGGTGTGCCAGTAAGAGTGGGGGGTGCTTGAGGGCCCTTTTTTGGGGAATGGCTCACTTACGCCTTTTTGCTTTCCGGATAGAATGTCTGGACTGGCACAGAGACCTGTGCAGCTTTCAGCCCCCTTTCATCCCATGTTTGGGGTCTCCTCACCAAGATGGTGTCAAGAGTGTCCTGAAGGGTCAGATGGTCTCCACTAAAACCCAGCTGCCTGGCTAACTGCAAGTGTAGTCACCCCGGTGCCTGACAGTAGTGATGAGGGGACAAAGCAAAACACTCCTTAGGTAGCAAGGGAAGCATAACCATAGAATCATAGAATATCCTGAGTTCCTTCAGCCTGCCCTGGGAAGTTGTGTGGACTCCCCCTCAGGCTCCCCTTCTGCAGCCTGAAAAAACCAAGGCACCTCAGTCACTGTTTTCCCATCTAGATCCTCTTCCATCTTTGTAGCCCTTCATTGGACATTTGTCCTTCTAATATTCTAACATCAGCTCTGGCTACAGAAGACAGAGGATGATAGTCCAGTGAAGTAGTCTCCTACATGTCTTTTCTTTGCTGATTCTGAATGTCATCTTTGAACAGTGTCTCATGTAAGTCCTTACCTGGTCATCTGACTGGCTTAGTCTGAGCATTGATGGCTTAGAATTTCTCTTTTCTTCTCATCATGGTATGCTTTTGAAGAAAGTAACTTGTTCATTTTTTCAATTGTATTTCTTTTTTTTTTTTTTTTTTAAATTTCTATGGAATATATATCTATAGTCCATATATATTATGTGTTTTGAATATTATTTTTAGTTCTGAGAATTTTTTTAGAAAACAGTTACTCTCAATTAAGTAGGCTTTAAAAAGATATTAAAGAAAGAGCCCTATACTGTGTTGACCATTGATGAACATAAACACATCTTCTAATTAACGTACAGGCAGCTTATTTGACTGCCTCTGTTTTAGCAGCTTACTTAAAGGAACCCACAAAACAGCTCAGTACTGGGTTGCTGAGGGAAGGTGTCAGAGCAGGAGCACTCTGTCCTCTTTAAGCACCAGGATTTGTTTGCATCTGACTGACAGCTGTCTTTCTTGTGGCCCTAGCTCTTGAAGAGTGTTAGCAGTGCTAACAAGGGGAAACAAGGGAATGTTGCAGCTCATGGAGGATCCTGAGAAATCAGTGATCTAGGGCAAGTATTAGAGAGGAGTTGCAGAGTGGTAGCATGGCAGTTGAATGCTATTTCTGGTAGCATAATGGATATGTTTCTGGTACAGCTACTGTAATCAAATAGTGACTAGTGACAGCAGACATATGAGGTGTACAACATTTTCTTCATCCCCTGTCTCTCAACTTTCAGATTCTCAGTTCAGCCCACAAAGCAAAACGAAGTGGAGGAGTCATAATAGTCCTTGCTTGGTTTCTGTTGCTAAGCAAAATATTGCCTGCTAGTCAGAGTAGGATGGTGTCTGCTGTCTGGGATGGTCTTTTTCATTATAGTGATGATACAAGGGAGATTGGATGAAACATTAAAAAAGGAGAAAATGAACCAAATCCTCACGCTGGATGGTATTTGTAGAAGCAGCTCTGCTTCCCCTGAAACCAAGTCTAAATCATCCCTTAGTTTCAGTGCTTCCATTTCAAATTTGTAATTCTAATATCAAAAAGGTGTGTTAGTCATTAATATTTTATCCATTCTTATAATATCAACAGAGATAAACCCAGCGGAAGGTTTGGCAGCAAGCTGCTGAACACTGAGCCCAGCATAGGTGCATTACATTTCATTCATTAGAGCCATATTTGTTGCTTCACGTAGGATTTGTGTAAAAACTTGTACAGATTCCTTATCCACAGAAGCTTGCTCCAAGCAAGTTGCTAAACTCATTAACAGGGCAAAAGAAAGACTGTGCTCCTATAATTTCCAGTTCAGTTATTACAGAGTGCACAAAATCCTAATTCTGCTGTAGTCTAAGGAAAAACTCCCACTGGCTTAATGGGACCAAGATGGCATAAAGTTAATTTCCCAATACAATGTAGAAACCAGAAGAGTGACTTCAATGGGGCCTGGACCTCAGGAGACAAAACTCTGTTGTCTCAGAGAGGCAAATGCTGTACCTTACTGTTAGAATAAAGAGCATTGCTGCAATAGGCAGAAAAAGTTTTCAATTTTATCAGCTGATTTCCATTGCCTATGCAGAGTTCTGATCTCATGAGAACAATCTGGGTAATTTTTCTTTGAGGGCAATCATATTCACCTACATATAGGCATATAAGGCACTGGAGAATGTCTTTTTTAAAGTAATAATCATAGTGAAGAGAACACACTTGTTTTATGTGAAAAGAACAACACTGGATTAATTTCATACACGCGGGTGTTTGTGTACTCAGTATTCAAAGGTGATGTATTTCAATTATGTTAATAAAGACCAATTCATGGAGTGCCCAACTATCAAATGGCCCTTTGTCTGTAGTTTGATTAAATGCTCATTCTTTGGTGGGTTATCAGTGGTGAAACACCAGAACAATAACTGCTAGTATCAGGAAATTGGCATAGGCGGGTGAAAGCTGTTTCTCTTACAATAGTCCACCACAGAGGGCTTCTTTTTGTTCAGCATAGAGAGGAAATTATTTACACAAAACATGATGTAAAGGCTGTTCAGTTCTTTCAGCAAACAGGCTTTGAGAACAAACCGAACCTTTTTCGTTACATAAGCTCATATCCACCAAATACATGAAGCACATTTTAACCAAATGCCATGAGTTTCCAGCCTCAAGAAAGACTCCATGAAGTGGAAGAGTAGCAATGGAGTGCCCATCTTCTATTTCTCCTTTCACAGATGTTCCCATACTTGTGGTGGGAGAGCAAGATTTTGCAGGGCTGGCCTGCAGTTTCTGAGGAGCAGGACCAATTTCCCCTCTGTAGCCAGACAGGCATTTCTCCATTGGGTACAGAAGCATTTGTGAAACCTATTCTTTAACCAGAATGGAGAAATTTGCTGTGAATCTCCTGTGAATCCTGTGTGATCTTTGGATTGTTGTTGGCTCTGTGGGCTGGCACCCATGTTGGTGCTAGGAGATCTGTATATATACGTAGCTATGCACAGGACTGCACAAGACAGATGGGAAAACAGCTTCTTACTTAATTGCACTGAATCCTGCTAGCAGTCATAGTAAAAAGCAGTCAAACTGCTTTTGGTTTGAAAGGTCATGAGTTTATTCCTCCCTCTCCTGAGCCTTTTTTGTTCGTATCCACACAGACGTTACAGCAGTCTTGCATAGTGCTGCGGTGTTATTCGATGTAAAAATATTTAATTTTAGCCAGAAGTGCAGGATTATTTTTTGCTAATTCGTTCTGAAAATTATTCACTTCAGACAACTTGCTCTCCCTTTTGGCAGTCCACAGGCACTGTGAAAGTGGTGTTAAATCATGCTTCCACTTTTTACAAAAGGACCTAGATGAGAAAAGCCAACTGCTGCTTCCGTGTCATGCCTGGCCTAGTTATGGGCAACTTTTATTTATACGCTACCAAGATATAAATAACAACGCAATGATTGAGAACATCAGAGCTTCCTCCATGTCATAAAATTGGGAAGAGGGAATAGTTCTGTGTGGTTATTGATTTCCAGCTGCTTAATTGGTGTTTACAATATCTCTCCTTGAAAATAGCCATGTGCGTTTTGTTCCCTACTTGCTTGTTTAATTTAATTTAATCAATTGTTACACACCTGTTTCCACTTACTTAAAATAAAAATTATCTACAGTGTAACGAATATGAAGAAACGTTATAAGCAATTAATCTTTATCTTTGTAATGTTTTCTTGGAATGGTATAATTAAGAGTCTACGCTTTAAAAATAATTAGATAGCAAGTTTATACATTAAAACACCAGCAGGCGTGTGAACCTTCCTTTAAACTATATGGGACGATTTAAAGATAGCTGTGGAAAGAGAAAAAAATACGACTTTTAGAACCCTTCATTGGATATTGTTGGAAAAAAACTTTTTCCTCTTAGAAAGGATATTCTATCATTAAATGCTGGGAAGAGACAGCTGCAGAGCATATCCAGATTTTTCACCAGCCAAACCAAAGAGGGATGAGTAAGATCCTTGTTCATTTTATTATGTACTCTATGCCCAAGCACAAATAATACTATACATTGCTTACTCTCTTAGTAAGGAGGAGAAGAGCATATCCAGCTAAGTTCCTAGACCTCTTAACAAGACTCAAAACCAACAAAGCAATAAAAATAAATAAATTAGTGCCTTAAATCTAATTTTTCATTTAATGATTTCTGAGCTCTTCTTGGTGCCAGGCAAGCCAACTGGATGCCAGGCAAAGCCAAGGCACTGGCTTCAGCCACCCTCTGCTTTTTACTATTTTAAAAAAGCAGCTATAGACCCTCCCCTGGAAAGCATAATTGCCAACAAACATTAAGCAGCAACGTTATCCAGAGTTTCATGTATTTGCTATTAATTGATAAGCTAAATCAAAAGCATGGGATTAGTGCAGAGAAGCCCCGTGCTTTCATATGGCCTCTGAATCTCTCCTGCTTAGACTCTTAGAGCTGGTACCTGTCTCCTCCCGCGTGCCTTATCCTCTTTCCTTATGCAATCTAAAGATAGTAATTAATGTGTTCTACCAAAGGGCTTTAGTGACTGGGGCAGCAATTTTATGCAGTTAATAGGTGTGGCCTGCTGTTTTATTACTTCCCCTTGTGGACAGAGTGTAGAAATTTCACACAAAAAACAAACGCCCGAAGACCTCAAATTAAGGCAGGGATGTTGTTTTTTTTCTTTTTCTTTTCAAATTTTCCTTGCTTACTTTTTTTTACAATGCCTGGAAATCCCCAGTGAGTCTGACAGAAGTCCCTAACTCGGCTGGTTTCTGCAGAACAGAACATTGCCAGATGATGGCTCACGCTTCGCTGACGATGTTCTGTCATCTATTGGTGCTAACGATGGATCAGTGTCTGTCTCTACAGCCTTTTTAATAGGTACTTTATTATTTTGACACATTTCTTTCCCTCCTGTTAATCCAGGGATTAGCAGTGACATGTCTAAATTCATGCTTAACTGTGTTAACATCATCCCTCTTGTACTGACTTTGCTGCGATCTCACACTGCTAGCTTCCTATTCCTAGCTTCCTTAAATATTCCCATGGAGATTCTCTGGGGTTCTCTTTGTGAGCTCTAAAGCTTTACCTGTCAGGTTGGCTACAATACAAAGCACAAAAAAGGCAGACTAAATGACAGTATGATATAAAATCAATGGAAGTCCCATCGCAGAAGAATAAAAGAATAAAGAAAGAAAAAAACTATAAACCAAGGGGAAAATAGTAATAGAAGAGTGTCTGCATAGTCACACAGCACATGGGGAAAATCATTTATCCATCTCCTGCTCTTTGCCAGGATCTGAAAACTTACTCTGACCAGATGCTTTGCTGTTATCTACCCCTGGGATTTCTTCAGTATGGATGTGTCTGCATTCCTGTAGCAGCACAGGGCAAGTGTTGCCTGTAAATATCTGTCTTCCTTGTGGACCCACTCCCAGGAAAGACTGAACTACTCTCCTGATGGTTGGTTTGGCTCATAAGCACAGCCCCTAGCACATAGCTGAGTGGTGCAGTTGACACATTGGAAGGAAGGGAAGCCATCCAGAGGGA